AACTCAGCTGTTGTCTTCTTCATTTAACCTCTTCAGGCAAGAAGGTAAAAATTCTATGTTGTTTTGTTGTTTTCTTTTATTTTTCCAAAATAACTGTGATTTTTTTCCCTTTTTTCCTTTTTTTTTTTTTTCTGATCCAAAGTACTCTACAGGCTGGTAAACATAATTTTTACATATTTGGCAGAAAGAGAGATAATTTTACAGGCTGCAAGCAGCAAAACACACTGCTAAAATTCAGGTGGCTCAAGAGCTCACATAAAGGGAACTGGTCTTTAGTGGGACATGAATGAGGATTTTAGGGACACATCTAAAGATTCTTGCCTAAATTTCACAAGCTTCTGCATCTGAAATTTCCCCAAAACCTCTCTGTCCATCCAGTGAAGTCTAATTGCCACAAGGCTGATGAGTTCAGTGAATTGTATGAGAAAGCAGATGCTTTTTTGTCTGTCTCTCTAGAAGGGCTGAAGTACAGGCACTTTCAGAGCACCTCTACTCACTCTGGTAGAAACAGGCTTCATATAAAGTGCTGGTGACCTGGGCAACCTGACACACTGCATGAGAAATGCAGGTTAATTTCCCTTCTTTACTCACACTTCCATGGCACAAGAAAAAGCCTTGAAATGTTTGCTACATGAGAGAGAGGGCAGGCAATTCTTTGACTGGATTCTAAGGCATTTCCCCTTTACACTGATCCCCACTATCAGGGAAGTTGTTTACACATCTTAAATAATGATGCTATAAAAGAAAAAGGGCGGAGTGGCATTCAGATTTTGTTTTGTTAATGGGGGTGCTGGTCTTTGCTATGAAAATATGAGCTCCTGGGTTTGGCAATGCTGTTTAGAAGCTTGCAGAGAAGTCAGGACAGCTGCACACAGGCACAGCAAATAGCTTGCTACTGCACAGCTTGTAACAGGTCAATGCAAATCCATGCCTGTTTATGCAGAAATAACTGGCCTGGAAGGAGGTGTAGAAGATACCAGAGGGGCTGATGCAAACTAACAAAAGCAGTCAGGAAAAATCTTTCTGGCATAAAAGTAGCATCCTGAGAGGCTAAGTAGTTTGGAAAATGAACTTGGCACCATTTTGCTTGAAAAGCCGCTTTGTACTGAAATGCATTGTTTTTTTAATTTAAGGCATGTGTTGTGCTACTTAGGGATGATCAGAATTGCTGTGTTGTAGGAAATTTAATTTTTCTTATGTGCTGTTTGTCCCTTTCACTTCAAATCAGCACAGAAACTTGTATTCTTGTATGAATGATCATGACAAATAAGAAAGTCACTTCTACCAATTTTCATGTGAGGGAACAGCCCTATCTGTCATGTTGTCTTTTTGTAGAATAGACCATGTAATTTCTGCCAAGTCTATTTCCTTCTGTGTATGAGAAATTAATGTATATTAAAGCACTTTAATGGGACACAGATTGATTGAGTAAAACATGCAATGGGAATTATCATGTGCATCAGCAAAGCAGGTTCCTTCTTACTTAACTTGTATGAAATACAGAATCACCATAACAGCAAGGCTACAGGTCTCTTACCTTCTCCACCCTATTTACTGCCTCCTCCTGTTGACTGAATAATATAATCTAATACAACCATTAATTATGACAGCTTTTGACACAGGTTTCTTTATTTTTTGATAGTTTTTGTTTTGATTTCATCTAACCTTAGCCTAAAACAAACTATAAAGAGAGAACAGATCATGGATAGTTATAGAAAAGGAGTGTTCATTATTTCACACAGCCGTGGAGGATGTTTGTAATTTTTATGAGGTCCATGGTATGCAGTGGTCTCTTCTGGAGGAAGCTATTTTCCTGGGTAGCTTCTTGCTCACAAACTGCAGTGCCAGTAATTTCATTTGCCAGACTGTTAAAAGCTGTTGAACCATCATGCAAAGGATCTCCTGTCATCAGGGGCTCTGCACTACTAATAATGCTCAGCACAGGTGCTTTGGCTAGTGCAGATCAACAGCTGGGAACTTCCTGGAACACTTCTTTTGATCCTGTGTCATCCCTCCTTACCACTCTAAGATTATTTATAAGTGACATTACCATTTGCTGTCCACCATGTAGATGTTCTCCAAACGCTGTGGTCCTTGCAGTAGCTCCAAAAGTCTGACTGAATTATTGCACAGATTACACAGAAGGCTTTGTGGTGAAGAATCATTCATGCACTTGTTCCCACCCCATTTCAGATTAAGGAAGTTCACTAAATTCTTTCATCGTGCAGTAAGAAAGTTCCTTCACTAGCCTATACCTGCCCTCCCTTTCTCTGGATTTATAGGGCAGCTCTCTAAGTAGTTCCCACTCACAAAACCATGGAGTTAGCTGCAGTGTTTGCACCTGGATGACTCCCTGGTGAGAGCCAGCTGCTTTTGCTGAAGGAGTGGCCACATCAGTGTGCCAGACACATTAAAACCTGTTCCCAGATCCTGGGCTCTCTCCATTCTTGGCACTCAGCCCTTTCCCTGCAGGGTGGGGTGGAGCTGCCTTCTTCCTACTGAGTAAGATTAGTAACTCTTTTTTTTCTCCTTGACTCGGTCTGAAGGTGGGACACACCTACAAAGTGCCTCATGCCCTACATTCACTATGTCCGATTTCAGAGCTCCATTTCAGATCTTTCAAGAGATGTGGGAGTATGGCACTACAAACTTCAGCACTGAAGATGCACTGTTTTGTTTTCAGAAGGTTGTGGATAGTAGGATATGAAAGTGGAAAAAAAGAGAAATTGTTTAATGCAATATCTTGTTGTAAGATTACTGCATTATTAAAAGGAAAATTAAAAACATATTACATAAAAATACACTAATAGCAGAGCTAAAAGGTTCAGAATAAATGAGATAAAACTCATCTTTGTCTGTGCAAAGATCCCTTTGGTATTTCTCATCTGTTTTGTCCATTTGCATTAGTTCTTCATGTGAAGTACTTCTGGATTCCAGAGCAAAACAAAAGTATCAGTATGAAACACCTATGAACTTTTCTTTCAGCATCACAGGTTCTTTCAACAGAGCATCACTCAGAAACAGGATGAAGCATTGACTGTTGTTAGTCCAATGAAAAGAAATGTCTGCATTTGCCGCATGTTGTATATTCATATATGTACCTTCATAAAACTTTACTTTTTCATCTCTTCCAAGCCTCTGCAGCAGTTTGTTTTAGGCTCAGTCTGTTTTCCTGTGGGCTGAGTTCATTCCCATTGTCTAGAACTTGCTGCAGGTGAAGGTGGTTTCACAGACAAATGTTGTATCTTGGCTGAGCCATATCAACTCCTAATGCCCTGGTAACTTCTGGCACCTGAGTCCCAGCTTTCCATGCCTGGCTCATGGCTGAGCTGGAGGTAGTGTGCGTGCTGCATCTTGAGAACAGTGCATTTTGAGCAGCTCTCTGTATAAAGAGAACTCTGTAAAGGTCTGTGAAGGGAGGGAGCTGTGTCTGTGGTAGAAGAATTGGGGCCTCAGTGGGAGGCTGACAGAATTTTGGCTGGAATGGGTTGCAGGTCCCCAGCACCAAGGAACCTCTTCCCCAGAAAGCTCAAGATAACTCTCGAAGGGACACCAACAGCCTAGGGCAGGCTGTACAAGTGCCCTGCTGATAAAAGACCCTGAAGTTCAGCTTTGCACCAGCCTCTCCCCACCTTTAACCTCTGGTGACACAGACTGGAGCTCCTCATGTAACCTCACCTTGCAGGCTGCAGCTTCAGGGCAGGCAGGGCTGAGGAAGAGTGCCTGCTGTGCTGTGGCCATCTGTGGGCACTGGGGAGAACTATTTGGCTGTGCACTTACTCCTTTTTCCAAAAGAGAGGAACTCAGGGGAACTCCAGCTTTCTCTGGACCTGACCCATGCTGGTCCTAGTGCAGGCTGAAAAGTAGAGACAGTGAGATCTGTGACAAACAAGATATGAAGGACTTGTCTCCATACTGTGGCTGTGTATTTTGCCCTAAATAAATAATCTTTCTGGAACACAGACCAGGGCTATTTGTCCAAAATGTTTGTTTGATAGTGAAAGTGATGTGGGGTTTGTTTGGGGTTTTTTTTGGTATTCTGATTCCAGAAAATTTTGTGTGATCCTACTGGTATCTACACAACACCTTTACAGTTCTCTTAAGATTCAGGAAAAGAGTTTCTAATCACCCGTTTTTTAGATGGCCTCCTTCTTGCAAGGACAGAGCTGAACTTGTTCCTAACTTGTTCTTGGTGGAGTGGATTGAACATAAATGACCCATGGGAGAGGTATCAGGCTGTAATGTTTCTAGTACAAAAGTAGAGAGTGACATATGACTTGTTATATCACTGAGCAGGAACTTAGAGACTTCTTTTTATGGCTCTTGGGCTATTACTTTGGCATTTTTAATTGTCCATCCCGCCTCAATCTCTGACTCCTGGAAAACTTTTTAGAAGTTAAAAGTGTATTTCAAACTGTTGGTGTTTCCATAGGAAGACAGACAGTCTCCATAGCTGTTAATGAGTGTTTTTCATGTATGAAGACATTTAATTAATAGTGATTTTATTTTTAGAAACCTGTTGTTTGAAACCCCTTGCCACAGTTCTGATTACCACAGATGGTTATATACAGGCTTAGTTTCTGTCACCAAGTCTCTATCACTAGTGTATGTTGTTAAGAGAAAAGTTATTGCAGGTGTAAGCATCAAACCAGTGTGGAGAAGGAAAATGTTAATCCATACCTGTCTAATTTCAATACCAAAAGCTGAAAGAAGACACAGCATGGGATAAGGCAGAAAAATGTCCTTTCTGAGGAATGTACATATGTTGTGAGCATGAGTCCCTTTTGCAGACCCTCTGTGCCTTTTCTCCTGCTGTGCATCATAGACTGATCTGTGCAAGGCTGATTAAAACTTCCAGGATTTAGAAAATGTCTATTATGTTCAACAACCAGCTATGGGACAATCTCAGGGCAGACAGATGCTTCACAGCGTGGTCTAGTTAAGCCAGCTGCACTAAATATTTTCATTCTTTTGTGCTTCCACTTAGCAGCCTCTTCATGATGGACTCAATTTCTAGACCAGTTACTGAGTTTTGCCTTGATCTCTACAAAAAGCTCAACAGAAGTGCAGAGGACACAAATATTGTCTTCTCTCCTATGAGCATCTCTGTTGCCCTGGCCCTGATCCATCTTGGTGCAAAAAACAACACTGCTGCTCAGATAGAAAAAGTGAGTATGAATGAACCATGGTGAGGTGCTGCCACACTGCTTGCTGTTCCCTCAAAGGAAATGTCTGGCAGCCCAGCACAGCACACGTGTGAATGCCTCACAGGAAAGCTGCACAAGGGCAGGCACAGGCGCTGCCTTCGCAGCTGTGCTTGGAGCACTGTGATCCCTGCCATCACACCCCCTGCACCAGCACAGAGCAAGGGCTGACTGAGGGCAGGTGACACAGCACAGTGGGCTGCTCTGGCTTTCCCCAAGCCTGTGGCAGAATACTGGGCTTTATTTCAGAATTATGGGCAGGCATTTCCTCTTGTGGTTGCTACGAGAATCCTGAGAGTGGGAGTCTGGTGGGCAGCGGGGAGAGCTGCAGACACCTGAAGGAGTTACACCTGGGTGGCTGAAAGCATTGATTCACATATCCCTTATGACATTCAAGAGTCAAAATGTCTCAGCCCACAGAGACCCAGGTGGGCAAGGAGGAAGTGAAGAAGGCCACCCCTCCAGTCACTGTGCCTTTACTTCCTGCAGTGCAAGTTCTGCTTTCTACAACCTTTCTTCTCTTCTTTTTTTCTTTCTCCTCTCTACCATGAGTGGTCGGAGACCAATAATCCTAAGGCAGAGCTTCTCACCAGGGTGTGGTGGGTTGTCCTTTGCTGTGGCTTTTTTTCTTTCTCCTCTCTACCATGAGTGGTCGGAGACCAATAATCCTAAGGCAGAGCTTCTCACCAGGGTGTGGTGGGTTGTCCTTTGCTGTGGCTGTCAGGTACCCACCCAGACACTCTGAGTCTGTTGTCTTTGCACAGAGACCACCCCTACAGCCCCCTGGCTACCATAACCCTGCCATATCAATACTTTAGGCAGGGACTCCTGCTTATTTTAGGAAAGCAAAGGGAATTGCTTAATATCAGTATCCTCTAAAAAACATGAGTAAATCTGATAGTAAAAGGGTTTTAAAATCATAGGGATCTGGGGAGTTAGAAGGAAAATTAAGCTTAGTAGGCTCTAGGAAAATACCCTGGGAAAGTGTAGATCTTGTACTTGCTAGTACTGCACTTGTGTAGCTAGTATATGATAAATTATATAATTGTTAGATGTGATGATTGTTTAGCAATTAAATATAATTACTGTTTAATCATAAGAATAGTAATGAGAAACTGTAGTCAGGGGCTTAAAAAAGATCACGAAAAACTCATGTTTGAATAAGATCAATGTATACAATAGAAAAACATAAGTTTAAATATTAATATATAGTTATATAACGATAGAATATAAAATATGTTCAGCTTGGAAGTCATGTCAGAGTCAGATTTGGGTCTGTACCCCCGATTCCCAGAGCTCTACAATAAAAGCACCTGCATATAATCATATTCTGTGATTATGTGTGAATGCTAACAAGTCTATGTGTGATGCAACATTATTGTAATAGAAAAACTGCTGTAAATTTTTCAGTGATGTATTTGCACAGTAGAAACAAGGACTGGTTTCCATTAAGAGCACTGTGATTTTGATTTCTTAACCTGATGCTAATGTTAAGAATGATTGCAAGAAGCCATTTTTGATGTTTTTAAAGAAAATTAATTTTGTCTCTTTACTTGGGGCAACTTTTTGTTTTGAAACTTAAGATAACTGTAGCAATGAAAACACAAATCAAATATAAACATTTTGAGGTAGTGAAGAGTAACATTTTGAGGGATTAAGTGCAAGTTCTTCTTGGTTCGTTAATATAGAAAAGTGAGTCTGAATATGAAATATGAACAAGTTCAAGTCTGTCATTTCAGCTGATGAGTGAAGGTGATAAAACATCTTTCATGAATCTACACCACATATCCAACAGGGCACAGCAGAGCTTTTAAACACGGAATATGGTTTTATCCCAGTTAAAATTGACATAAATTGACATCTTCACCTGCAGGTGCTCCATGTCAGGAAAGCTGCAGGAAGAATGAGTCTTGGATCTGATCACGAGAGTGCAGCCCCAGAGGCGGAGCCAGAAGGGAGCCTGGAGAGCCAGCCTTCCTTCTCACAGGTGTGTCCTCGGGTGGGGAGCCCTGCCTTCACTGCGTGGCAGGCTAGTGTGGGTAAAAATCTAGCGTTTGCCACTGGAGGGAGTCAAAATTACATGCTCAGCATCTGCCTAACCCTCTAGGAAATGGCTGATACAAGGTTTTATTTTATTAAGGGCCAGTAGATCAATACCAAAGCCTACAGTGATCTCATCTGAAGAAGGATCAGGCTATAAAGCTTGGACTAGCTGGATTTAAAAATGCTTATAATGTTATCTAATCAAGATGCAAATTAGCAACCAAAGGTGTATGGAGGAATAATTTTAATTGTTCTGTTTGTGTTACTCCCAGTGTAACAAGGAGGGAGACCTTAACCATAAAGTGTTCCAGGAGCTGCTTTTGCAACTACAAAACCTTGGTGAAAATTATGTTTTAACCTTGGCCAACAACCTCTTTATACAACAAGGATTTGAGCTCCAGCAGGTAAGTCACCTGCTAACTGCTGTGGCCATGACCTCAAGCTTCCCTGTAACTGTGAGCCTCACTGTTGCCCCTCTTGTGTGTGTTTTGGAGCACATGATGTGCTACATGGAGTTATAGCTCTTGAGGCTGGTAGGAAAGAAACAAGACTGTCAACTTTCCATGCTTTTATTTAAAAAAACCCCAAAAAACACAAAAAACCCTAAAACAAACAACAAGTAATAAACCAGAAGAAACAAAACCAACAAAACATAAACAAACAAACAAACGGAACACACCACCCAGGTTATAGAGCAAAAATAAAGCAGGGGATCTGTTAATTTTTGGCACATTTTTCATATGTGTGCACTCAGCCAGAGAAGAACCTACAGTCAAAAATAACCTATTCAAGCTGTCTGTAAACTACCTACTTCAGGTCTTGCAAGTGGGACAGCTGAGGCAGCAGTAAGCTTGGAGAGGGTTTATCTCCAGGAAGGTTGTACAGGTCCATGCACAGGACTGCTCTGCTGAACTTCTTGCTCCTTTCCTACAGAATGACTAAGTGGTCTTGAGACTACTTAGTATGGCTAACTTGTTAGTCACATCTTTGCTTTTCTGTCAATTATTGCAATACTTAGGCATCAAACAACTTGTCTTGAATTTTTTCTGTTTCTTTAATTTTTTAATCTGAAGCTCAGTTATGCACTTCTCCATGACAAGACTCATTATTCTGGTTTTCTTTTTACTTATTTACATTTTTAACCTATGCATTAGAATATTTTTTTTCAAAGATCCTCTGAATAAACTTCAGATACTTGACATTTCCAAAATGAAATTTTGCCTTTCAGATTCAACAGGTCCCTCCCCATTTCTAAAATACTATCAAGAGATTGATTTCTTTCAAAAGGCAGTAAGTGCTTAATTGATTTGACCAATTAATAATCCTTATTTTTTTGCTTTACAGCAATTTCTAATGTGTAGCAAGGAACTATATGGGGCAATGCTGCAAACAGTGAACTTTCATGGTGCTGTTGAAGCTGCCAGAAGAAAAATTAATGCTTGGGTTGAAAGTGAGACACAAGGTAAAACAAAGCAAAACTATAGCCATTCTATCCCTGCCTTCCTACATGGGTTCAACAATTGAAATTCCAGGGTAGGAAAAGCAAAGAGCTGTTCACATTTCTGTGTGTTCACTCTTATGCTGCTTAAGGGTAATTTGTCTTCCCATCTGCTTTTGAAATATTAGAGTAAATTACCAGCTAAATTATTTATGAGTTAAAGATATGTTTGCTGTAAAATATTTTTTTATTCCTGCCCTTATGCCTAGCCTGATAATTGCAGTAATTACTACTCAGTCTTGATCAGACAAACTGTTTCTGCAAACAGCCATAAATGCAGATTCATAACACCAGGGGATAATTTGGTAAACCCCATTCTCCCTGGCTGGTAAGAGGGCAGAGGAATCTTCTTAAACAATTAGGAAATTTGTTTACCTATATTGTTTTTGTCCTTTGAATCAACTGAGAACTGTGTTTCTAAGTTTGTCCAAAATTAAGTTCACTGACCAATAATAGAGCCTCAGTCCAGAGTCTTAATGACAGCTAACAAATACATCTGTGTTTCAAAATTCCCTTTAGGTAAAATCAAGGAACTCTTTGCACCTGGTGTGATTGATGGACATGCACTGCTGGTGCTTGTGAATGTAATCTACTTTAAAGCATCCTGGGAACACAAATTTGAGGAAGAAAAAACAGTTCAGAGGGATTTTAAACTGAATCAGGTACAGCTGCATTCTGTAAATCTTAACACTATTCACCTTAGATACTGTGAGCATTGTTGCAAGCATAACAATGTCCAGGGCTGAGCTACCCTGTGTGTAAACTGTGGGTGCATTGGGAGCTTGCATTGCCTCTCCTGCTGGGCAGAGGTGTTGTTAAGAGCTGTATTGCCTAACTATGTAATTTTCTTTTCAACAGAACAGAAAGAAACCTGTGCAGATGATGTATCAGAAAGGCAAATTTAAACTGGGCTACATTGAGGAGGTGGGTGCTCAGATCCTTGAACTGCCTTATGCTCAGAAGTCACTGAGCATGATCATCCTGCTGCCGGGGGATGCGGCTGATGGATCTGTCAGTGGGCTGGAGCAGGTAAGGCAGTATGTGTTATGGACTAGGGCTGGAAGCCAATTGTCTGAATTAACACTGGGTAAAGATCTCAATTTTTCAAAGCTTCCCACCTATTTTAATCTCCTTTTCCCCCCCAACTTATAGATTGAAAGCACAATCACCCATGAAAATTTAATGCTGTGGACCTCCTCAGAGAACATGTTTGAGACCACAGTGGAGGTTTACCTGCCCCGATTCAAGCTGGAAGGCACCTTTAACCTCAACGAGGTTTTACAAGAGATGGGGATGACCGACATCTTCACTGAATCAAAAGTTGACCTTTCTGCCATGACGTTTGCAAAATCTCTGGTGCTGTCAAACGTTGTCCACAAGGCGTATGTGGAAGTCAATGAGGAAGGCACCGTGGCAGCAGCTGGCACAGGAGCTTCCATTGTGAGGAGGTCTCTGCCTCTCACAGAGGTGTTCATGGCTAATCACCCTTTCTTGTTCTTTATTAGACACAATCCTACCAGTACTATAATTTTCTTTGGCAAACTCTGTTCACCTTAAAATCAGGGCCGTTTTCTAACACTGTGAGGAACACCTGGATGAAAAGAAGAAATCGTATTTTTCTCCCAAATGCTTTCTTAATCCTTTGATATCTAATTTGCACTTCAAAATAATCACTGCAGCCAATTTTGTTTAGTACCTGTGAATCAAATGCTCTGCCACTAGGCTCCTTGAATTTTAGATATTGATCTGAATCCAGAATCGAGTAAATTTTACCTTAAGCTCACGGGATATGAATAACACTTGGTTTCCTTGATGTGCACATGTGCTCATGGTGACAGTAGGGTTGAGGTGGGAGTGGACCTCTGGAGGTTATCTGGTCCCCCTCCCCTGCATGAGCAGGGCCATCTACAGCTGGTTGCCCAAGACCGAGTCCAGATTCCTTTTGGATACCTCCAAATATGGAGACTCCACCACCTGTCTGGACAACTCTCCTAAGTCTGTGTTAAGTTCTCAAATAACTCCAAAGAGAATTTTGTATGTATGGTGTCTGCAGGAAGAGGATACAAACCCATGTATTTCTAAAGATGGTTAATTATTTACATAGTATAGAAGTCTGTCTTTTATATGGGGATAAATCAAACTATTTGTCTCAAGGTTTCAAAGAACAGGAAGAAAATGAATTCCACTGAAGTTACCAACGTGGAACACTGTAGCAATGAATTTCCAAGAAATGTGTTTTCCTTTTCCCATGTTGCTGAGTGGTGAATTTAGGAGTTCTGAGATGCAAGTCTGAGAGACAGAGCTCTCCATGCTTTGAAGAATGAGGAAAGGTTTTTTAAAGTGCAATGTAAATCATGGAAATCACAGTTAAACATTACCTGGGAATGCTTGTGGGAGAAAAATTAAATTTCTTTCCAGCTGACAGACATTGCTGATAATTTCCTGGTTTAACATAAGTGACATCTTCCTCAGAGGGATGAGGTTTGAAAAATTAACATGTTCTTTTAAAATTTATATATAATGGAGAATCAGTAAATAGCATGTTTAATGCACAGAATTATATATGGCTTCAGGAAGAAGATACATTAAAAATGGCACGTCTCCCAAATAGAATATAGTCTGGCTTTAAACTGGTACCTCCAAAAAGCCATCTGAAAGAAAACTTCCCTCATCCAAAATGTGTAGGCATTTTGTTTTCTCCTTTTGTAAATTTTCTAGCAGCTAGCATTTTCCTTTGCTTGCTCTGAACTATCTTGATGTGAGCAATTAGATGCTTTGCCCATGTTGAAATTCAGGAGCAAGGTAAGATGAGGTGTAAATTCCTGGAGAACATCTAGTGAATGGGTTCAAAGCAGACCTTGAGAAAGCTGCTCAAATAGGTCTCCTGAAAAACGCCATTTCAATGACTAATTTTTTATTTTTTATGTTTTTTTAAAATTCAGAGTAGTACCTAACTTCTGTAGTGGAAAAATACATGTTGCCCAGGAGGTGAAGGGCCTGCATCCCATATCCTTGCTGAAATTCAAGCCTGCAGCTCTCAAGAGAATGCACCAAGTTCTCTCAGGCACTAGGCTTTAGCATAGGCTGCAGGGCAAACCTGCCCACCTTCATTTTGAAGTTCTTACATGAGGGGGTGCAGCTCAAAGGCACCAGAAGAGAATTCCAGGACTGGATAATTTTGCAGTTCAATAACTGCATTATAGATGAGTTCTGGTTTCCAGGGTCTGGTGCCATTTCTGTTTTAGTCCAGTAATAAAGGAAAAAATTATCTGTATGTGGGTGTCTATCTTAAATAGAATGCTATGGAAGAATTTTTTTCTGTATTTTTTCTGATGGCATGAATTTTTCTTCACTTTCTTAATATCTGCCTAGAAAAAACATAGTAAATGAAGTAGGTCATCTGTAAGCATCCTCTCAGCTCTTCAGAGAGTGCTGCTATGCAGCTTTTTCATCTGAATCCTCAGGCATGAAATTAGATATTCTTAGTTATGGGATGGTGAGTCACAGCTTTTGTGTAAGAGCACTGCCACCTACACATCTCCAAGATTATTTTGCAATCCTCCCTCACTTGAGTGCTACAGTTTGGAAACAGAGTCCAGCTTTTCCACACACTTACTGACAGTTTTAAACATGCTGGAAAAGCATCCCCAAAGGACCTCTCTCGCCAATCCTGATGGATGCCTTATTTTCTTGTGCAATGCCTCATGAGGCAGGTAGCTTTTGGCACAGCCCTATTTGCAGCTTGCAACCTCACAGCACCAGCTCTGCCTCCACTCACACCCCAACAGCTCCTTTTCCAAGAGACCCCTACTGAAGCCCACTCTGCTGCCTCTCACTTCTTTCCCCTGCAATCTGTCAGCATGAAGCTGTCCCAAAAGTGGGCCAGTAATGACCAGTCCTGCCTTTTCCACAACCTTCAGCTTGTCCAGTGAGGAATCATCTTACTAAGCTGTAGTGGGACAACCACTGGGGGGAAAGGCTTTCTCAAACTAGAGTTTCATAACAGGAAAAGTCTCCTCAGTCTTTTTTTCAGATTATATTCATGCAATCATTGCAGGTTATCTACCGGGGACTTAGCTGCATTTTGCTTGATGGGTTTAACTGCTGGTCTTTTGTGAGAAATGTAATATTCTGCCCAGAGCAGTGCTGAGCACAGTGCCTGTTGGCCTAAAATACCTATATTTTAGGTTTTTTGTTTTTGTTTTGTTTTGTTTTGCTCAGCCCACAGCCACCCTCCAGACACCAGGAGGAAACACTGTGAAAAAACTGACTGCTGCTTGTGATGCAGAGCAGCATGGTTGAAGGATGAGTGCTTTGGTAGCGTGGAGTGATTTCCTTGCTCATGAATGGTAATGAATATGAAGGATCCTGAAAGACATGCCCAGGGGCTTTTGGTGTATCTCTTGTACCCCAGACAGGAACAACTCCACTTTGCTGCCTTCTTTGCTTGTTGCTTGGTGCAACCCTTCCAGAGGTGCAGACTGACAACAACTGTGGAGGTCAACAAAAGCCTCAGGAGGCCAACACACATTTCAAGCCATAATCATTGATGCCTCAAGCTCCCCACACTGTTCTGCTGAAACATGTGGGCTAGGCCTAGGGTACAGGAAATCAGATCCATAGCTGGAGTACAGCAGCAAATATCCAGAACTGAGAACCTCAGCTATGCTCTCATACCAGTGTCTAACTTCCTGTGGTGTTGTGGGAAAAATCCACATCCAGTATGATGTACTTCAGTGAGCCACAATGTCTGACACTTGGTCAGTGCTTCTAAACCATGTAGCAGTTTTTGCAAAGAACCCAGGATGCTGACTGCATGACTATGTTTTACACAGAGTATAGCCTTTAGAAAAATAAAAAGGAGGAGATTAAAGTGACTGTGGAGCTAGCTGGAGCAGATAGGGGAAGAGTTTTCTTTGTGGAAGTTAATGAAGAAGGAACTGAGGCAGCTGCTGCTACAGGGGTGATCAAAAGAATGCTTTGCCTCCACAATTCCTCATGAGTTCAGAGTTGACCATCTGTTCCTCTTATTGATCAAACATAATCCAAGCAAGAACGTTCTCTACTTTGGCTGATGTTGTTCCCCCTAAGGGTAGAGCAGGTTCTGCTTCTTTCTGCACAAAGAGAGCACAATACTGTGGTAGAAAGGAGTAAGGCATAAATAACATGTTGCTATCAAGTTCCACTGACATTTCCTGATATCTATGTTCTTGAACCCAAGGAAAAACACCACATTGTTTCAGCAAGACAACTGGAAAAATTATAATGGCCTTTCATGTTTAGAGCTCTTCTCAAACCAGTGAACACACTTAACAGAGCTTATTTAATTCTTATTTCACTCTTAGCCTTGAAATCTCCCATTGCAGTGGGGTTGTCTAAAGAGTTGGATGATGTGCTATATAAATCAGAAGTCCAGCATGATGCCTTCCCTCCTCAGCCACGTGAGAAGGCTGATGGTGAAACCACACTCCAAGAGGTGCTGCAGACCTCTGTCCCCAGCCACCAGGTCCCAAGCCAGAGACAGCTCAGTGTTGAACCCCCACTTTACTGCCACATGTCTCCAGTAACTCCATCTCCAGTGCCTAAACCCACCATGAGGGAAGGCTCTTGGCTGCCATGAAAGCAGTGAAACCCACAGGTCATATTCATGTCCTGAGGGAGACTCCATGCAGATGTTGGGCATGGTGATATGTAGAGATTTGTCCCACACTCTTCTCCTCAGATACTCTTTCCAGGCCCTCTCTTTGGAAGCAGTAAAGTGTGACAGCAATAAAAGTATTCAAAGCATTTACTTGGTATGGCTTTTTGAACTTTGATTTGAAAGTTGCCTTAGGCACTCAATCTTTTGAACCTCTGCCATGTCTTGTCTCTTGCCTGTTGTATTTAATCAATGAACTACAAGCACAGCAAGGTGTAATTTACCACTACCAAGAACTTGAAAGAAAACTGATCTGTCATTCTGAAAATAATAATGAATGCAAAAGGTAGGGTTTGCTTGGTATCACTATAAAATTTTCTAAGAAAATTCTTTTCCAGTGCTGTGGTGTTTGACAAGTGCCTGAAAAACTGTGGTCCTTGGAGACCACGAGGTGTTTGGCCTTGGAGGAAGATTGTTCTCAGTCTATAATTTCTTACCCTGCCAGTTCTATGACCCTCTGCCTGATGAGTGGGAAACAATCTTACTGTACAACACAGATGTGACCACTGAAGGGAAAGTATTTCTCGATCTAGAATTCCATAATGGATGAAAGCCCCTCTAAAGTACTATATTAATTTCAGAATATATTAATGCAATTGTCTCGTGTCTGCACTGGGGTGCGCTGAGTGTGACTGGGATGGAGCTGACTGTGTCCATAGCAGCCTGTATGGTGGCCTTTTGGGATTTCTGGCAAAAGCAGTGTTGATATATTTTGGCCACTGCTAAACTGTACTGCAAAAGCAATTCTGGTCTAATTCTGGTCTAATTCTGGTCTAATTCTGGCCTTATTGTTCCTACACAATTTTTTGCAATGATACAAAATGTGTTTATAAGCTATTAAAACATTAGTGAACACGTA